CGCTGCAAAACATCCCGAAAACTTTTCTCCTTCATTATGCATCATTTGCAATAACAGCAGCATGTTTGTCCACTCTCGCTGCAGCCACATTGCTGCTGTTTATTATTTTTGTTTTTCACTCACTGAAATCGGAGTCACAGTGACTGCGGTGGGACTGCCAGTGAAGAAATGCCAGGAGAAAAATTTGCTGGAAGGCCCGGAGGTGGACGAGAGAAGACGGTGTGAGAGAGGAAGCAGTCGCCTGAGGCTATATTTCTGCGTAATGAACATCTCATGCAAAAACGAGGAGTCTAAGTTGTGTAGTTTAATAAATTTAATGTTTGGTCAGCTGTGACACCTTGGTCCCCTTCCAGGAAACTGTACTAATGAAATGGAGGACGAATAGAATCACGATTTTTAATCCTGATCTTCGATCACCGGCGAAGCCGACGAAATACAGAGCGGAAATCAGCGGGCAAATTTTCTAGGAATTTCATCCGCACTCTAATAATAAAAGTCCTGAACAGCGCCGTAATCCTGATTTCATTTCTGGTGTCCGACTGTTGTTCATTAAGTATTGAATTCCTAGTGAATATTAGTATAGAGATTTTCAGTTGTTTTAGATTCAGTTCTCCTGCAAGAAAACAATTCATTTAAAAGCTCCTACACACAGCCCCTTTTTTTGCAAGTAATATTAGGAAGGGAGGGAATCAAACCTCTCATTTCCACTGTCTCCGAATCCTTTGAATCGTGATGTGTTACCCAATACACTACTAGTCTTTATGCTCCACAGAACAGCTGAAGCTCTCATTTGTTTATGTATGTCATTTACACATAATTTGAAGTCTTAGTACATCTTATGCTACGGGTAATATTCTGGAATGCGGAAGCGGATGAGCTGAAATATCACATAAGGTGCTACGGAATTACAATGTCATTTATACGCTGTACGAATGGGTGAGGGAAGAAAGAAGAAAAGCGAAACCCAAGATATCTAGTAAATGGACTACCAGGACTTCGGTATCAATCAGCCATCACGACGAAAGTTGCAGGCTGTACCTAAAGTACGAAAATGCGCAGCGATGAAACAACAGCTGATCGAAGTATTCAAGTACTACACCTGCTTCGTGTATCCCTCATTTCGAGACATTTCTTT